AGGCAGGAAGATCCCCAGGCCGAACGCTGTCAAAACCCTGCCCTGCAGTCCGGGTCCTCCCGTTTGGAATGAGCTAACATTCGTTGGAAAACCCCTCCGGACCTGCCGAAACGCTGGTGACCCTCCGCTGTCCCCCTGCACTGGCGCAGCCCTGCATCGCCTCCTTCGACGCAAGTGGCTCTGTCACCAGAACGGGAGGCGAAGCAAGGAACGGAGGAACTTCGGCCTGCTCCGGTTTGCTGCCCCGTCTCCGCTGGGGACTCCTTCCGCAAGCAGCCCCAAGTATTATTGCCGTTTACAGTAGCAGCCACTCCGTCCCCTCCTCTCCCACAAAACTACTGCTGATATTAGCGCTGATCACAGTAACAAGCCTGTGGGTTTTATTACTACTGATACTAATAATACTGGACACATTCCGCCTGCTCCCGCCAATAACAGGCTGCAGATACGATCCCTGCTAATGCTGATAATACTGGGGGATATTATCTCTGCCATTGTCGGCACTGCAGATATTATTGCCAGTAATGCTGTCAAATACTACAGATATCGTCAGGGACCAAGATTAATAATGCTGAGAATGTTACGGCACCAGCCTCCCTGGAACACGAATCCCAAATGAGAGTTTGGGTCTACAGAGGCATTCTGTCTGGAGCCCGCTGTGGAGAGAAAGAGCTCTTTCTAAGAAGAGTGGGTTTGTAAAGATCCCTGAAGTTTCACCCAGCTGGAGATGCTGTGGTACGCAGGGAACAGTTTGAAATACTGTTTTCGTATTGTCTAATTTGTCTATCCAGCTATCCATCTGTCTGTCTATCCGTCCTTCCCTGTCTCCCCGTCTCTCCCTTCTCTTTATACAGAGCTCAAGACTGCAAGATGAGTGATGCTCATCCTTTGTTAGTGCCTCTGGGTCACCCCAATTCTCATCCTTTTAGCTATCCATCGGGGGTTATGGAACGACAGAAATATTTGCATATTACTTTTCCCCATGATCCTTCTGGACTTCTCACTGCTGCTCCGTAGTCTGACAGTGACCCTGCCAAGCTTGGCCTGCCATCACAGCGTAGTACAACATTGGGACAGGGAAGAGCCAGGAATTCCTGTCTCCAGCTGCAGCTGGCTACTGCAAGACCCTCAGTGGTCTTGGGGAAGTCATTACATGCTGCAGGGCCACTTCTGCCTCTGGTCGATGGTGGGTGCAGGTGGTGGGGAAGGTCGGAGGGAAATGACAGCGACAGTGGCTGTGCCCACAGACTGCAAGAAATGGTGCACACTGCGCTACACAAGCGGTGGTGACATGGTTTAGCCAAATTATTTTAAAAGTCATAGGAGACCAACTCTCTGCTTCGTCTGATCTGGTCCTGAAGTCAGAGGGTTTACGATCACTGAAACAAAAGGAATACATGGTCTGAACAGGGCCAATCCTGACCGTCCTTCCTAGGCGCTCGCCTGAGGAGGACACACTGAGTTCTGAGGAAGGACGTGTGATCTGACAGTTCCTTGCTGTGGCTGGGGGCCACTCGGAGCCACCTCCCTGCCAGCTCCCTCTTGATCCCACGGTCTCCCCAGGCCACCCGTGCAGTTGCCACCACCACATTTGGTCAGTGGGGTTTCCCCTCGTCCCCCAACTCCCTGTGAGGGACACAAGTGGCTGTCAGCGCCCACCACTGAGCCCACCTCGTGCATCCGTCTGGCTCCTTCTGTCCAGCTTGGGAGTTCTGCTACATCATCTTGACACATAATTATCTCTCCTCTTCTTAATCATCTGTGCTGCTGCCTAATGCAGGCACCAGCTGCAGCAAGGGGGACCTGGGGGAGGGGGTGTGCTCAGAGAGACTCCTCCGTCTTTCGCCCACCCTGTTCCCCAGCCATCACAGAGGCTGCTAACCAGATTTTCAGAACCGGGGGTTCAGGAGCAGCTTGGTACTGCCCCCCTTTCTGCTGAACTGCGTTCCTCAGAGAGGAATCCTTGCAGCAGAGCTGGTCCAACAGAGCGGAAAGAAGGAGAGAGCAGTGCCGCTCCTCCTGCCTCTTT